ACAAGACACCAAAGTTGTTCCTGACTGGCTTGGTGAGTTGAAGTGTGCAACCATGGAGGTTGATGTTGCCAGAGCCTGAGTCTTGTTCACTGTAGGAAATTTGCCCTCATCCAGGACTTGATGTCCGACAGGCAGTCTGTCAGGACAACAGTGGTCCTGGAGTTGAGGGTGGAAGCAGAAAGATAGAGTTGGGTGTCATCGGCATACATGTGGAAGTTGACCCCATGTCTGCGGATGATGTCACCAAGGGGGAGCATGTAGATATTAAAGAGGAGAGGGCCAAGGACAGAGCCCTGGGGGATGCCAGACGGGCGCTGGAGGAGAAAACGTTAGAGGCAACAAAGTGAAGACGGTGAGAGAGATAGGAATCGACCAGGCAACGGCAGGTCCGCGAAGATTAAGTAAAGAGGAGAGGCGGTGTATGAGGATGGAGTGGTCGACAGTGTTGAAGGCGGCAGAGGTCAAGAAGAACAAGGAGGCAGAGGGAGCCCTGATCACAGATGTTCAGAATGTCATTAGTGACTTTAAAACACATATCTAAACACAAGATTATTATTGCAACCCTTGAGAAGGAATACAATCACCTCTATTGTCATGAGGAGTTTCTAATAGATCTTATAATAAAAACCTATCAACGATGCCTAATACTGCAATATCAGGGTAGTTCTCTTTTTCTTCTGAAATGACCATTGCTTAAGATCGCAATCTGATCCTTATAGAATGGGGAAGTTGCTTTAGGCTACATGAATGAGAATGAATTTGTTCAAAGTGCTTGTGAAATTGGGCCAGGAGCCAAAGACAAGTCTTTGATGGTGGGAATAAAGAAGATATAGAAGTAGCAGAGTTATATACACAGGAAGATTAGACAACATGTCTGACAAGCTTCTTTTTTAAGGTGACAGCGTGACTGATCCTCTCTCCTTTACAGTAATGGACTGAAGTTCAAAGTATACAGAGAATAATAAATCAGGAATATTGATTACACATAAAATTTCATAATTTTAGTAACAGCAAAGTGTGCACGATTGAGGACAATTGGTTTTAAGCTTTTTGTGTGTTCGGATGGGATTTCAATATAATCAGACTTGAAAGTATTCTGGAGAAGCTCAGAGAATACTTTCCTTGTGGAGCTCTGGATGCCATCATGTTAACAACATCAAAGGTTACCTTACAACAGTACTTTGAGGGTATAACCCTGACCAAATACAAGCCACGTTCGAGCTGAATTTAGAAACCTGAAGAATTTATACCTGGGAGCAAAATTGTTGTAAGCCATGTTTAAAAATAAATCTTTTGAAACTCATTTCAACCGAAACAAGTGTTGACCAACTTTTCTCCAAGGAACAAGGGGAGCTTGCTGCTTCTTAGCTCTGGTAGTTCAGACTTCTCAAGTGTGTAACAGATCCCAACCACTGCCCCACGGAACAGTTAGTTACACAATATTAACCAGCAGCTGACTAACGGTCTTTGGATTCTACCAGATTATATCAAAATATATATTAGTTATAAAACCTCTAATCTGCACTGTGTTAAATCCATCAAACTTCGTAAGAGTCTCTTTACAAATTTTAACTGCATGTTAAGAGACTGATTTGAGATATGCCGAGGTCTGTGGCCTGTGTTCTGATTACCCTGGTTTGCAGCTCAGCTAAAATCTAATATCAAGTCTCAAGTGAATTATGCAGCTGATTCAGATTGCTTCCTCTAACAGTCAAATTAAAGTAATGTGATGTGAAACTGTTCTTTCTCTCCTTATCCGTGATCAGATTTAGTCTGATGCAACATCAATCTCTGTAGTAACTGCATTTTCAAAATGAAGATGTGAAAACAATTGCCTCCGCACCCAATGTGCAAGACTGAGAAGCTGCTGCCAGTATTAGCATGGCCAATAGATATTCAAACTTATTTAAAGACGTGTGCTTGAATAATAAGCCCACAGATTCAGGGAACAGTTAAAGGTAATGCTGTAGTCTGCGTTTAAGATTTCCTGATGCTTCAAACAGATGGTTGACAATCATGATCTCTTAAAGAATCCATTATTCCAGCCCTGCTTCAGTGTGGTTATTTAAATGCATAGCTACACAACTCACAACAGCAGGGTACTCATCTGCCTACAGTTAGTGGCTAAACGTCAACACAACATCAGAAGGGCAGACTAACAAGCCATTTTTAAAAAATGAGTTCTATTTCATCTGCTGCAAAGCAAAATGACCTTTCAAATTGCACTCTGGTGTATCAGACAATTTCTCTGCAGCACAAGTGCATAGTGTGCATCATTCTTGAATAATGCATTAGGTTGTTACAGTACACAAAGCAAGGCTGCTAAATGCATATTTAAAAAGAGAATGCATCAGTCGCAGATTCTATTACTGTCCCATGCGGTAGTAATATGTTTCAGCACCAATATGATTAGAAGATAAGGAGAATCATTTGTCAATGGAGCATGTAATACATTTAGGGAAAAGTAGAATATGATGGGTTTTTGTCTACTCTGTGCTTTAATATGAACTCCCAAAACCAGTAATAGAAAATGAAATTTATAGCCCAAATTATTACCATACAGGAACTGTCCTGTGTCTATTTGCAATTGTTCATTTTTAAGCATAATTTGACAGAACTTAATTTTTTTCATCTATATGCATCCAGTTTATAAAATGATCAATGCTGATTTGAACAATTTATTAAAGATCTATGGTTTCTAGAGAAACTGGGGCTCGGGAGATGTAAGAGATTGCCAATTTGCCTTCTCAACCCAAGACAAGGATTTGAATCCAGCCCTTTATTGATGCGATGAAAGTCGTTTCTTCTCTGTGTTTACTGCGAGTCATATGAGATAAATTTGGAGTATTCTTAGCTCAATGTCCAATATATAGACTCACATCACACATACAGCCCTCAAATTGTCAGTCTCACCCAGAGGCACAAGTCAGACCTGAAAGTCAGCAATATCAGACTGTGCAGTAGAGGGAGCTCTTCTATGGCTAGACTAAGGTCAGTTGGGTAGAAGCTCTTATTCTGCATGTGGCCTGTGCCATTCCTGATCTGGAATACTGAAAAATACTTAAAGCTGAGGTTTGGCATTTGGTGAGAAGCTATTCCAATTTCTTGAACTAATATCCCTCACCTTGATGAGCTAGCAGGCTCACATACTCCCCGCCCCGCACCACAATAATATCCTATGTTTCTGGATCCCAAACACTGGAATCAGTTGCAATTAATTTTACACCACATATTGTGTGCTACACATTTTTACAGACTGGTTTGGCCGTTTCCTTTGCTAGCTTCTTCTGCCAAACAAACTGTCTTTCTCCAAATCACAAATTCTTGCACAATATTTTTTAAAAAAGTGCATGCACCAATTCTTTCTCTTCGGCACGCTGCCTCTTGCTAAGTGACTGGCTCAGAACCAGCTGGCAGAGAACCACAGATCTGTTTTTTTTAAAAAATACACAGCAGTTGTTTGAATCAAGTGTAAGCGTAAAGAAAAAGTTTACGAAAATAAAACATTCACAACTGACAGATTTGGAAAGTGACAAGAGCATTTGTTTCCGTGTAGGGCTCGTTTACAGAGAAGCCCTAGTAAAGTCAAATTGAGCCAAAATAATTTTGAGACGACTTTAGAAAGAACGCAGCTGTTGTATAAGAGTCATGTGCTTGCTAAATCCATTTGAAACGCTTGAAATTTTACACTGTCTGCTTCACTCAAACTAAGTGTGCCCAGTTACACGCAAGTCTCTCATTCTATCATTGATGCTCATCAAAGCTGAAATTCTATTTTATTATTTCTATTTCTGAATAGGTAAAATGAGCTCCCGTTTCTAACAATGTTCGTGTTCCATCTTCAACTGCTCATCACTTTGGGACGTTGTACTGACGTGAAAGGTGCTGTATAAATGCAATATGTTGTTGATGTTCCATTCTCAATGTAACTTTTTTTAAAAAATAAAACTTATTTTCTATCTATTCTTCAGAAATAAAATTAGGTTGAAAAGTCTCTTTGACCATTTTATCTCAGCCAATACTATCCCCACTGTGATTCCATTACAGCATCAGGCAGTTTCTTAAAAGGAGTCAACTATCTTAACCTTAGCCACACTTCCTGCTAACAGTTCCGGCCATTAACGAATAATAATCTTTGCATTTGAAATTGCGCCTTAACTTGTCGTCGAGACCATCTCAAATGCCTCACAGGTATTTTGAGGGCACAGATACCCTCTGTGTAAAGAAATACTAACTGATACACATTCTATACTTAGCTTTCACAACCTTGAGTATCTGAAATAATTTTCAGGGTCGATGCTCTCCATATACCGTACCATGAACAGCTTGACAAGTTCCTCTCTGAGAAGTCTCTTTTCAAGCTTTTCTAGCCATTCAACAACATGGAGACACATGGAATTTTAATTAGCTTGAAATGAGTCTGCAAAACCAGGTCATTTTAAGTCCGTTATGAACAGAAGAGGACCTTGCAAGGACCACTGAAGCATCCCACTGAATACATCCATCCATTCAAACATAGATCAAATTAAAACTATTTTCTGTTTTTCTCCCTTTAGCCAGTTACAAATTTACATCCCTCATTTCTTCCCAGCAACTCTCTTGCAGGTGAAACATTAGAATAATTTTATGGCATTATGTTTTCATCCATTGAGTTCCAGAGAGCAGGGGCAAAAGAGCTCAAAGCCTGCTCTTTGATGGTGGGGGAAATAGGGTGGGGGACATGAAGCAGGACAATGAAGAAGTCTAATGGGTTATACCAGTTTCTCTATCAGTATTTCCATTCTCACTCATTCTAATATTGTCATGAAGTGATAACGTTCTCCTGACTCTGGCCTCAGTAACAAACCCTGACACATGTCATCGTCCCATTCTCATTGAATACCTCTTAATGAGAGGATTTCATACCAGATTTTGCCGTGACCTGTGATATTGGCCCAACTACATTAACCTAACAGGCAATAATACACAGAAAATAGCATAAAAACAAAAAGGGTAATTACCTTTTTTATTAGTCCCCGACCACTTCCCAAAGCACTTTGTAATATTTATATCATCCACTTGCTGGATTCTGCAAGTGAAAATAAAACACCATTAACTTAACTGAATTAAGGTCCTGCTGGAAAGGCATTTGTAAGCTGTTATCCATAGTTGTACTGATGAGTGCGGTTTCTAAAAAATCTAAATTTAGTGCACTTTATGAAAAATACAAATTTATTAATTTGAGGATCGTACATTGAATAAATATGTAAGGTCCAGTTATTTTTAAGGTTATTTAGAAGAGTAGTGTGCATTATAGGTATTGTTTGTAAATGGCAACTAGATAGATACTATTGCTGGTGAGCATCTACTGTTAGTAAATAGTAACTAGAATAGTGTGTGCATGATGATATTATTTTACACGTTTCTACCGAAATAGTTTTATTTGCTGATGGTTTCACAACAAAACAAACCTCATAAGTTTCTTATAGAGTGCCATTATATTCTTGATAGATATGGTGCGAAGACAAAACACCAAGATTATAATGAAATGTTATTACACTAAGAATAATGAAGCATGTACACTCTGGAAAACATTATTCAACATACAGTATCAATTTTTTGGAAAAAAAAAGGTTATCTCCCACAATGTAGGCAAATGCATAACATCACATGGTACTGAGCTGTGTAGCCCAGGAAGGTCCCATGACTCGCTGCTGAGGAAATTAATCTCAATCAGGTTTGAAGTAGAAACAATACAAGTGGCCTCATGATCATTCAGATTTGGATTACTAGGCAGGGTATCCACAAGTATGGATGCCAAGTGAGGACTGTATCAGGCTCCGACATCAGCAGCAATCTAGTTCTTGGTCAGCCGGGTGTCCAGTACATGAGGAAACGCATCACCATGCTTATGAGTATCCAAACCAGACTGAGATTCACATGCATGCCATATGTAAAAGGCAATTTCCACATGTCTTGAATGCTCACTCTCTCCAAATACTTACCTGACCAACTGGTGACTAATCTTCTCGGGGGGGGAAGGGGGGGGGGGGGCAGAGAGGAGGTAAGTGGGGTCTCCTTGAAGCTGTACTGGCTCCAAGGTGATATGCTTGGCAATAGAATCAATCGTCAATCTCTGTAGCAGTCTCAGTAGATGGGTTCCTGAGCCAGATTGATCTGCAGTATTCCAGGGTGCTGACGACTGATCAGCCTGCCTGGCTCATTGGCAGAATATGAAGATTCTTCCCTCTCAGCTACTTTTAACCCTGCAAGCCAAAGCCCTAAGAAGGGTAGTCCTAGCTGGACAAGCAACAGGAAGCTTGCCACACAGTGCTTTTAATGGCAAGTTATGCAGTTTGAACTGGTTAAACTGCAGCAGTACCCTCGACAAATATTCTGGGGCCCAAGACTTGGCTCTTACCAACCCACACCTCATACTGCCTGGAATTAGATCTGCAGGATGTGTCCCTCTGGGGAGAGATTGTATATTCCAAACACGACAATTTCCATGTGTAGGTGGAGTCCTGTAGCTCAGTGGTTAGAGCACTCGCTTTGCAAGTGAGGGACCTGAGTTCAATTCCAGGCAGCGCGAAACCTTGGGCAAGTTTCCTTACTCCACACAGAGCCTAATAATAATCCCTCCAAAAACCAAAAACAATAATAAATTGGTCATTTTCAATCCACGACTGTTTGTGGGACATTGTTGTGCGCAATTGGCTGCCGCGTTCGCCCACAAATATACAGTCAATTCACTTTACAGTGTGTTCTGTGAAGCACTTTGGGACATCCTCCCGACGTGAAAAGCGCTATATCAAATGCAAGGAATATATATATATATTATTCTGTGAAGCGCTTTGGGACGTCTAGAAGACGTGAAAAGTGCTATATCAAATGCAAGGATTATTATTATTATTATTATTATTGTAGGTGGCATTCATAGAACTCAGTCTAGTTTGGATATTCTTAAGCATGATGACAGATGTCAGAAATTATGCAACTCTAGAAAAGTATTAGGCACAGAAGGCGAGAGCCAGGATTTGTAGACCCAGAGTCTGCTTGAGTTTAAACATCTAAAACATTTAAAACTCAAATGCTTGTCATTTGAGATCACGATCATGCAGGTTTCCCGCAGCTAGGATCACCTGATCAGGCTTTGCCTTGCAGGGTTAAAAGAAGCAGATTCGGAAGAATCCCTGTTCCCAGTATTTATCCTGATCCTCCTAAGTCCTACTGCTGAACCACATTGGCTGGTCTGGCAACAGCCTTGCCTTGGAGGAATCGGTGGCTTAGGAGCTGGCCAAACGAGACAGGCAGAAGGTTGCCAAGCATATCGGAGACCCCACTTATATGTCTATGTGGGTCCCCCCCGAAATGCAGTTGATCAACTTGATGAACTGAAAGGACTGACTCTTTTTAAAGCGCATTTCATTGTCATTTTAGTCTGAATTTACAGACCCATAGCCACTATGTTATAATGGGGTATGAGTCATACCATATGACTAACATGAAACTGACTTTTTGAAGTCCAATGATAACTATATTTCAATGTACACTATAATTCGTCATTATCCATGAAGTAATTCTGTATAACATATTTTTAGAAAATCTATTTTGAAAAGTATTGCTTGACTTCTAAAAGGGATTGCTATTCTCAAAGCTCATATGGATTAAAACAAAACTTGGCTGGTGAGCAATCATAAACACATAAAAAGGACAGTTCTTGCAAAAAGCAATTTGATGTGCAACAACAACAACAACTTGGATTTATATAGCGCCCTCCACGCCGGACGGCGTCTCAAAGAGCACTTTACAGTTTAGGATCCCGGGACCGAGCCAAGGAGAGGGGTGGGAAGGTGACCAAAGGCACAGTCGAAAAGAAAGGTCTTCAGCAGAGACCTGAAAATGGGAAGGGAGGGAGCGAGACGAAGGGAGTGAGGAAGGCAGTTCCAGAGCTTCGGGGCGTAGTGGCTGAAGGCACGGCCGCCGAGGGTGGAGTGGAGGACTCGGGGGACAAGGAGGAGGCCAGACCCGGAGGAACACAGGCAACGGGTACTGTGCTGAGGAGGGAGGTCAGAGAGGTCGGGGGCTGCAGAGGAGTGCAGGGACTTGAATACGAGGGTGAGGATCTTGAAATCTATCCTCTCTGGGACAGGCAGCCAGTGCAGTCTGGCAAGGACTGGGGTGATCGGGGAGCGGAGTTTCGTGCGGGTGAGAATGCGGGCGGCAGAGTTCTGAATGAGTTGAATGGTAGTGGAGGGGATACTGGCGAGGAGGACGTTGGAGTAGTCCAGCCGGGAGGTGACAAAGGCGTGGACCAGAGTTTCAGCGGCTTTTGGGGAGAGGTATTGGCGGAGACAAGCGATGCAGCAGTTTGTACCGAAAACAATTCCATCCCTAAAGTGTTTACATTTATTATGGCCAAACAATTCAACAATTACAATTCTTTAAATAATTGTAGCTGAATATTCAGTTTCTTTAACAATTTACCTCTATCAATTTGTTCTCAGTGAAAATTAATTCCAGAGGGTAATGCTCAATGCACAGCAATATGCTAACTGTCAATTTCTATTTAAAAGTTAATTTGGAGAAGGTCATGTTTATTAGAAAACAGAAGGGTATTACAAACCCTCAAATAATGTAGAATAAGTAATTATACCAGCCTCCATATAGACATTTTTGAAATATCATTTTTTTTTGACAGTGATTCAATGATTAACAATTGACTGGAGAAAACAAGCATTTATTATACCAAATCATCACCACAATTGAAAAATCAGCATCTCTCCTGCACTTTATCTTATTCTCTCTTTCATTGCTATTCTGTTCATGTGAACTGTGAAATGAAAAACACAAAAATGAAAAAAAAATCTTGGGTTCAGACAAAGGCAGCTGTTGGAACAATAGCAGTTTGATTTGACAGTGGGGATTTTTGGAACGGACCTCCACAAGTTTTTCCTGAGTATATAAAGCTTTTGAAGCTGCCTACAAATGTGTACAGTACTGCAGGATCACACTGCTGATTGTGTACTATCCATGTTCTTTTTATTGTACTCCAGGTGTACTTAAAACGAAAATAACCCTTTCTTGTTCATTGGTCAAAATATTCCAGTCTCGGGCATGACAACCTAGAAGCAGTAGTCCTAAACCAATAATAAAGTGATGGCAGATGGCAGAAGTCATTCTTGTGTGGTCCACGCAACTAGCGTACAAAGAAGTCTAAAGCGGGGGCAGCTGAGCAGCTACACTGATAGTGTTGCGCTGACAACAAGAGGTCACAAATATAAATAAAACTGAGTTGTCAGTAGAATTTCATTGCCATCAGTGGATGAATTTCACAAGCTCTCAATTCATGCACTAGATGGGAATACCAGACTATCCTATTCTCTTGAGCGAACAAAAAAAAATATTCTTTAGGACATTACCAGCATACATATTATGATAATTCACCTACAAAATACACAGTCCCTACACTTTACAGTACACCTCATGCAGGAATGTGCTGCATTATCAGATGTGTTGTCCTTCAGATGAAACATTAAACTAAGATTCTGTCCAGATGGATGTTAGAGATCCCATCATATTTCGAAAAGAAAAGGAAATCTCTCCCAGTGTCCTGGCCAACAATGCCCCAAAATAAAATTGGTAATTTTCTCTGCCTATTTGTGTGACATTGATGTGCGTAAATTGGCTGACGCGCGTTCGCTGACAAAGTATACAGTCACACCTTACAGTATATCCTACAAAGCACTTTGAGGCAATGTGATAAGATGCTCTATTATAATCCAATTTAATTTCCTCCAGTTTCTTCCCTCTGCGGATTTTCAAAATTGCTAAATCTATTTTATAGCTTTACCTTAAAACCTCATTGGGATAGCTATTTATTTTTCTCCTGAAACCCTTGGCAACCTTCCATGAACCCTAACATTCCCTGATGGAAAATCAGCACTCTCCAGCATTCTCTATTTCCTTGGTCTCTTTTTCCCTTGGACTCTTTTTGTTAAGCAGTGTAACTTATCTATGTTGGAAACATATCCAAATCCTCAAATTGTAAACATACAAAGCGAAAAGAATCCTGCTTGGTTTATTCAG